AATCTATATCCTTAGTATGAGTCTTCCCACAAAGAACATTAGGCTTCCCTGGAGCCAAATTGGTTCCAAAGTTTATTTGGGAGATAAAACAAGCAATATAACATAATATAACACAATATAATATAATATATAATATAATGTAATGTAATGTAATATAATATAATTAAATATAATATAATATAATATAATATATTGGGTGGGGTAACAGATATATCTGTTACCCCACCCAATCACCAAATTAAAAAAGAGGCAGAAGGTAAAGGGAACTAGCTCTATTCTATACTACCACTAAAGCAATATGGTACTAAAGGATGCATATGGATGGTATACGGTAAAGAACCAAAACAGAAAATAGTAAAATACACCAACTGCAAACAAATTGAGTATATCCTTAAGGGAACATCTTAAGTCTACAGGGGCACTGCAGTGGGTTAGTGGTGCCTGCGTCCTTAACCACACTCGAGACAGCTGAAATAAAATGTTCTATTACTTGGGAGTGGGAAACAAGGACCCTCTTATTTGAACAAGTAACTGCAAAACCAGCCTTGTAAGACAACCAGAATTTAATTCCTGACCAGATAATGAAATGATAACAAGAAACTAATGTCAGTGTTCAGATGTAACAGTGGTCTTGTAGCTACATTTTTCAGGAGTTCACAGTGAGCTACACCTCCACCCTTTCTTTGTCTTGCTGTCTACTGCCTACTGTCTACTTTGCTGTCTACTTTGTGGCAGTCTACTGCCACATTGCCTAGGCTGGGTTAGCAGCTGTGAGCCTTTTGTCTGAACCTTTGAGAGGGTTGGAATATAGGCCTGTCTACCATGCCTGGCCATAAGTTATTTTTGTAAAAACGCACCTTATAATAAAGGGTCCATATATGTAATGACTTTCCAATTTCTCTATAAAAGCATTTAAATAATAAAGAATTAGTAAAAGGAAAAAAATTTTTGAGTCAAGTCATACTACGTAACCAAGCTGCCCAGGCTACACTTGAACTTTCAATCTCCACGCTTTGTCTCCCAGTCTGTTGGTATTGAAGCTATGAGATAGTCATGCTCAGCTGAGAGATCAGATGATATTAACACTATTTTTAAAAAACTGTAATATTTTTAACAAAATTTAAGGCTTGGTAAATACTTTTAAAAGCCCATCAATGATCATTACACTGTAGCCCATCAATATGTATAATAAATTTTTTGAATAAAACATCTTATTTGATTTTAATTTTAATTTATTGAGACAGGGTCTTGTTGTGTAGTTTAGGCTGGTCTTGAGTTCATTATTTAGCCCAGGCTGGCCTTGAACTATATAGGCAAACCTCCTGCCTCAGCCTCCCAAGTGCTGGGATTACAGGTGTGCACCACCACACCTGGCCCTTGGTCCTCTACCTTGAATTTAAAAACATGAATGATTTGAATCTCAATTTTGAGACTAAGTAGAATCTGGTAATTACAGTGAAATTCCCATGAAGAAACAAACCATGTTTTAAATGCTGCAGAAAGAGTAACTATCACCATTCTCTGAGTGGGATCCATGTGACTCCTGAAAGGAACATAGACCAGCTTAGGGATTCTGTGATCAAAACCTTTTTCATATTAGCTTTTACCCTTTCATGTTGTAAGTGTGCAATCTAATCACGCAAAAGTTACCTGCCATCTGATGTTATTTCCCTGACACTCAATAAAAATATGCTTGTATATTTTTACTGCCTCAAAGAATTTTAAAGATAAGTATGTTTAGGATGTAAATATGCATATTTTCAGAGATTAGGTTTATTCTTTTGTCTACTATGCCCTTGTTATCATTGATTATACATGATATTACTTTCACATTTAAAAAATCAGTAATTTAAGGCTGTAATTCCAGCTAACTGGGAGGCTGAGGCAGGAGAGTCACAAACTTGTGGCTTGCCTAGGTAACTCAGCAAGACTGAAAAATAAAAAAGTCATGTATGAGGCCCTGGGTTCAATTCCCAGTACTGCAACAAATAAACAAGTAAACAATATATTTAAAAAATCTGATTATTTCCCATTGTGGAATATAGCAAAACAACAGTATTTTGCTGAGGTTTTCTGTAGTAACATTTTAAAAAAATCTTTTGAAAACTTTTCTAAATAAAAACATTTTTATCTGAATTTCAGATATTTTTATATTATATATAAATATTTTATACAGCATCTACCAAAAATGTATATACACATCAGGCAAAAAAAGCGTAAATATTTTAATACTACATGCATTAAGACATCATGAGATTAGTACAGATTATCTTTGGCCTCTCAATCACAAGAGGTGCTTGAAGAGGTGCTCCAAGTGGTGGCCAGTAGCTCCTTGACATCTGTCAGTATGGCAAACTGCCAAGGGTAACCCTGGGCAGAGCGTCCACTGATTGCTGCACATGCATTTTCAATCTTTTCTCTAAGAGCCGGCAGTGCAATGGTTTTCTGTGAAATACAACATTCTTTAGGATCCTCCACAGATAAAAGGCTACTGATGTTTAAGGAGGGGAGCATGTGTGTTACACAAGTTTTTCTTTTCCTGAGGTGTGCATACATTTTTTTACTCTGTATAAAAGATTTGATTTATGTAATGCATATTTTATATCCATATATCCTAATACATTAATTTTAAAATTATTAACATTTTAAAGACTAAAATTTATTTACACTTTCTTAAACTTAAGAATGGACTGGTGGCTGTGGAAAGGAGAATTAACACATTCACTTTCTTATGCAACAGCAACAGCTGTTACACCAGGAAAAGAAGAAACATGCACATGGAAGGGTTCTGTGACTCATAGGACAGGGACATCTATTCCAGAGAAAGTGAGCTAAACTGTAAACAAAAGCAAATTGGAGGAAAGCTGTTGTTCTCGACTTTACAGATGTTAACAATTTACCTTCTGTAACAGACAACAGGAAGTTTCAGACATTGTAATGGGACTAGTTAATTGCAACATCAGTTTGAAGCCATTGAGAATCTAAACAAAAAGGATTTAAAAGTAGATATGACCCATTAATATCTTGCCAAGAGAAATGCAATTACAGCAAAACCTCTAGGCCTGGCTTGTCTTCTATACCCTGGATGGGAGATTTTTTGTGCAATGTGGCCATACTCCCAGGTAGACAGAAATTTGAAGTGTTGAACTACCAGTGAGACTCATGGCTCTTCCTGTGACACCTGTGTGACACTGACATTGACTGCAAGAGCAACAGTGGGTAAAGCTATTGTGCCTCGGGAAGATCAGGAGTCGGCCGTCATCATCCTCTCATTTATTCCTCACTGCCACACTCTTATAGGAAAAGCAGACAGAGTCACTAACAACCTCTGATGAATCGGTGTAACTGCTGCTGACTTTGCTGAATTACTATCCTTGAGAAACTTAAAAATCTACACAGTAAAAAATACAGTACATACAACTTCAGACTTCTGCTCCATGACCCAAAATGATGGCTGTCTGCAGAGAAGCACTCCCACCCCTTTGTGAGCTCTGGAAACTTACAGTTCATGGAAACCATTTGAAAGAATGACTGCTAGACAAATGACAGTTACTCACACTTAACTATTTGGTATGTTCCGCCCAAAAAACTAGCAAAATGACCCTACCAGCTAAAGAAAAACAAATGACAGAATTTGTGGCTCACGATATATTTGAGTGCTTATACAGAAATTGTCTGTCCACATGAGCTGACAGCTTTCTAAGAGTTAAAGGCACTACTGATCCAGTTGATGGTGACAGTGGCATCTGGTAAGGATTCACGCTGCACACTACAATATGTCAGTGCGTGGGAGATCTCCATAACTCAAGAAACCAAAATTTCCAAACAAACCATACATGGCACTACAAAATCTTGCAAAAGGTTCAAACAGTGTACGAGCAATGTGTTTTAATGTAACAGAGTATGGAAAGTTAATTAAATTTTAAAATCTACACTGTTATTAATCTTTTTTTTTTTGGTCTTTTTCCTTTTTATTGGTACCGGGGATCGAACTCATGACTGCCTGCTTGCAAGGCAGGTGCTTATGCTGCTGAGCTAAATGCCCAGCCCCCACTGTTATTAATCTTTAAAAAATAACTACTTTGAACTTTGACAAGGCATCCAAGCAGAGTATGCCACTACACTCTGAGATGGCCACTACAGTATTTCTGCCTTTGTCAACCATTTAAATGTATGTGGGGCTAGATTTTCTTTATACTCTTCAGCCAAAACAACACATCCACCAGACCAAACACAGAAGCAGATATGAAAACCCAACTATCAAGCCACACAAAAAAATCCTGAAATGTAAAAACAATGCCACTCTTACTAAACAATATTTGTGGAAACAGGATCTTGCTATATAGCCTAAATTGGCCTCAGATTCTCAATTCTCCTGCTTCAACCTCCGAAGTGCCAGATCATAAGCATGAGATACCACACCTGGCTTGCCAAACTTTTTTTTTTTGTCTTGTAAAAGATCATGATTCTTCATAAAAACATGCTATATTTGTGTTAAAATATGGTCAGTTTTTAAAATAAGATTTCTTTTTGTGGTCTTCTTGTTGTTGTTTTTGAGACAGGGTCTCACTATATAGGTCAGGCTGGTCTTGAGTTCACTTTGTAACCAGGCTGGTCTTGAACTTGCAATGATTCTCCTGCCTCAGCCTCCTGAGTGCTGGTATTACAGGCATGCAGCACCAGGCCCAGCTCTTTTTGTGGGTCAAATCCAGGGTAGTTAAGTGCTCTACCAGTGAGCTGTACTTATTCCCCCAATGCAGCTAAGTATTTTAAAATCTGTTTTAAATTTAAATGTGACAAATTTTGATAAGTATGACCCATATTTTTAAAAGTTCTTTGGGATGCTCAATAATTGTAAAAAGTGAAGTGGGAGACAGATATCAAAATTTTTGAAAACCGCTATCATATTTCATATTTGTATAACATTTCTAACACACCAAAATATTTTCTAAGAAAGGAGAAAACAAAACTGGACAATAGCATGAAAGAACATCACTTACAGCAAAAAGGCCTCATTTACAGCTTTGAAGAATGCTGGACAGAGGACTTCCTGAGGTTCATGTCCATGGTAGATGAGCAGGGCCTCCACCAGGGGTTCAAAATCAGGCAGGGTAACAAGTGGGATGCAAACTTGTGACAAGGATGCCACTCGTTCAGGAGCCATCCTAAGGAAGAAATAACATAAGAAATAATTACCCTAATCTGAGAGCCACATGTAACTAAAGACTCAAAGCCTTCATGCTGAAACGGTCAATGACTGGTTTTGGCCTGAACACAGAAAGAACTTCTCCATCTATCAGCTTCTCTTCTCCTGGTTCTCCATGAAGAAACCCTTTAGCTGCCCTTTCCATTTTAGTGTTAGTCACTATCAGGATTTTGATGTAACTACGCACAGATGCAGCCAAGTGGCCGGGCCCCCTACAGAACTCCCAGATCTCCTTTCCAAGTATCCTAACCCAAGTGCTCCCTAAATGAACTGAGGCCTGGTTCCTCTTTCCCTCTCCCTCTCCCCACCTCTTTTCAGCATCTCTACTGTTACCTCTGGCTTCTGGCCTGCACCAGCTCCAGTCTGTCAGGCAGTAACGCAGTATCCTGATTGTCTCCCTGCCTTTGCCCTCAGTCCTCTGCTTAGCATCCAAATGGCTCAAGCAACCCTTACAACTCCATGGTGAGACACCTGACTGTTCATGGCTTTGCCATGCTGTCCTGCCTCCCCCAGAGAAAAAGTGAAGTCTTGTAATAAGTAGCCACCTTGGTCTTTCCTGATGGGTCCCCTGGCTTGCTCTCTGACTCTTCCCTTTTGTTCTGCCTCCAGCTGTGCCAATCAGGTCCTGCTGTTCATCCCACCTAGAACACATGGCTAGCTCACTGGCTTTGTACACACGTCTCAGTTAGAATGTCACTTGGGTAAGCAAGGTTTTCTTTGACTATACCCTATCAATGCACTGTCTGTCACATGTGGCAATCTAAATTTAAATGAATAAAAAAATAAAATTTAAATGAATTGAAGTAAAATAAAAAAATCCAGCACCCCAGTTGCCCTAGTCACTTGACAAGAACCAGCTACACAAGGCCAGTGGCAGCTGTATCTGACAGCAAAACCCACACCCATTCTATAGAAAGCAGGCCTGTGAGCACCCACTGGCCCTTTGTCACTTTTCTTATGTGTCCTCCCAGCTGACCCATGATGTGGCACCTGTGTACTGCTCAGGGATGGTGTCTTCTGCTAGCACAGAAGTCTTCTGAGGTCAGGTCCCTCTTTCACAGCTCTTTTCCTGGAACCTAGGGACTACTTAGAGGTACTATGAAACACGTTACCTGAATGACTACAGATTAATAAAAGGAAACTTCTGGCAACACACTGTAAGTACTTCTTCTAGGTCTTTGCTTATAGAATCATAAATATAGAAATATAAACTTGTGTTTTGTGAGATACAAATGACACCAGAATATAGAACATATAGTATAAGCTGCCCTCATTATTTTAGACTGGCTGCTTATTTTTAAAAAGCATATAGTTTTGTAATTTAACAATGGCAGCTCAGGGGTTCCTAATGTTTCATGGTAGAAATGGGGCTGCAGCAGGGGCCTCACACATGGCTATATGTGCCCTGGTGGGAGGATCTGCATTTTAAACTCCCTTCTCCATTTCCTCTTCTACCCTTACCAGAGATATTATGATCTACTTTTATTTCTCCTGATTTGGCAGGCAAAAATTATTATGGATGCTTTAATTTACATTTGTTGATAATTTGGGAAACTGAGTTCATTGTTACCCACTTGTTTCACCTTTTAAGTGAATTTATGCGTCAATTACTTTGCTTTTGTCCTACCCATCTGATGACTATGTGTTGGTTGCTCAAGGTAGTCAAGGCTCTGTTTGAGGTGTTCATGACAGAGAAGTAAAGATGAAGGGAAGGGAAGGGAAAAGAAGCATTAAAATGATGATGCTCATGCTGATGAGCGGAGGACGCAACAGAAAAGGACAGTGAAGACTTGCTGAGAAGGTGACATTCGGGCAGGGATCCAAAGGAACCATACAAGCAAACCATGAACACAGCTAGAGAGGAAACGCTGGGAACTGAGAAAAGGCAAATGCAAATATCCTGGGCATCTGAATAAGGTGAGGAGACCAGTGCAGACACAGAACGTGGGGAGAGGGCAGAAAGTCTTTGGTGCTGTGCTGATACAGACACAGCATATTGTTTAACTTAGTTTTTACTTGTACCTTTACATGCAACTTTTCAAGAATCAAATGGGGAAGTACAAAGAATTAAGATGTGTTATATACATGCATCATCTTCCCACAATGAATGTAACCATATCAGGTGCGAGTAAATTTTTTTTTAAATGCTGAAGAGTCGGGTCGGGGATTTAGCTCAGTGGTATAAGCACTTGCCTAGCAAGTGTGGTCCTAAGTTTGATCCCCAGGACCAAAAAGAAAAAATGTTACAGTCAAAAGGCTCTTTGAAGCTTATGAACAATAGCGGGAATTCCCACTCTCACTTTCTCACCTCTAGAGGTAATCACTTTTGACCCTAACTCATTTTTTGAGATGTTCAGTAAAAACTACAACACCAGTGCCAAGCACATCTATCAGGTTATAAAGAAAAAAAGAACTTGAGCACATTGCTGGTGAGAGTATAACAAAAAGGCACAGCTGCCCTGGAGAACATCAGTAGCAGTCTGTTACCATGCACCCCTGCAGGTTGGGGAGACTTACACAGAGGGTGGGTGTGTTATTTCTACTGAAATGAATAAAAAATGATAGTCCATTTACAGAATGGAATGGAATGTTATCCGGCAGTTAAAATGGCAAACTGAGCCTACATTATCCAAATACACAAAGCTCAGATGGATGTGTGGTAGCACACACTTCTGATACTGCACTCGAGAGGTTGAGGCAGAAGGATCCCGGGTTTGAAGCCAGACTGGGATATATAGCAAGCTCAAAGCAGCCTGGATTACATAGTGAGACTCTAGGCTCATGAAACTTTATCTCCAAAACACAAAACAAATAAAAACAATGAACAGAGAAAGCCAACTTGCAAAAAGATATTCACTGTACTTTGTTACTTATGGAAAGTTTTAAAACAGACCATTTATATGAAGAAAGTGTGCTAAACATGATAGGAAAAATTTCTACCAATGTCTTGGGTGTGATGACTCCTGGGAAGGAATGAGAGGGAGAAAGATGCTTTAGTGGTCACTGAAACATTTTATTTCTTTAAAAGGATCAAATGTAAATACTAATAAAATGTTAGCATTGTAAAGTTTGGGAAATGGATACATATTTTCTGTATGTTACAACTCTTTTGTAATTGTTAAAAACTAAAATACAATGTTAGCTAATAAAATACCAAAAATGGAAAGATAATATTCTTAATAGAGAAGTTATTTTCTGTCTCAGGTTCCTGCTTCCAAAACAGCAATGTAGTTCATGAAAAATCAATCAGCTTTAACTGCTTAAAATTTATTTCTCTCTGGAGTATTTTTCTTTTTATTTTAAATATTTCTGTACTCTTCCAGTTATTTAATTATATTGGTCTCTTTAGAATTATTCATTTTATCACTTAGATCAGCTGAACAATTTACTTCTCAGATATATTCAACTTAAGAATTTCTCTCTGGATAGTTAATTAAAACACATTAAAACTCAAACATCAAAACATTTTATTAGTTGATAGGAAACTGTTGACATACATAGTAAAAAGGGGAATTTAAAAAATTGTTTTCACATTGATTATACCATATAAATTCAACCAAATATGAATCTAACACATACTATGAAGAAAATGGCTCTCTTGATTGTGTACTGTGCTTTAAACATTTATTCCAATGAAACTCAATGTGTTTTGCGTAGATATGCTAAGAAGTGAACCAACTGCAAGGAGGGACCATTATGGTTAATGTGAGCATGTCAGCAACCAAAGAAAAGCTGAATATTGTTATATACAGCTCATAAATCAGAGTGAATGGCAGAACCAGACCAAACCATGAGCCCAAATGCATTTATGAACCGCTGTCTTCTGCCAGAGTGATAGGATCAGCTGAACAACTGGGCCTAAGGGTTACATACATCAATTGATTCTTAAATTGAACACTCCATTCTTGCCCTGTTGGTTAAATTCCTGGAGAGAAAAATGCAAGGTTTGGCTATTGGAGGTGCTGCCTTTCAACCCGCAACTGGTTATTTGAAAATTGTTGACAAACATCTGTGTCCAAACTTTCCTGACCACGATCTGTTTGTGGCCAAAAAAAATTTCCATTTGTGCCAGATTGTGCATCACAATTATTTGTGAAAGATGCTTACTTCTCCAAAAAATCATGGACAAAATCCTTGGTATAGGGCACAGTCCATGTATGATGCCCACATTAATACCTTAGCTAGTAACAGCTGCAAGGATGAAATGTTGGTTAGCAGTTTATGTTATTCCTAGTGAAGCAAATCTATGATGTAATTAGAATTCCCTATTAAATTTACTAAGACTATGCAGTGCCTGCACTAGTAGATATCTCCTGCATGCCAATAGATCTGATACAATCCTGATTTGCTTTATTGAGTAATGCTTACCAGTTTTTTTCAAAGAATTTTATAATTCACCAAGATACGATTTTTTCAGGTACTTTTCTGAATGTGCTGAGCCCATTCATCATTTTCAGAGAAACTGAATTTCTTCCACTTTAATTTATACTTATCAAAAGATTGAATTTAAAAAGCAATTTGATGCCCAATATACTTTTTGACTCTTTTCACTGACTTTTAAAGTCTTATTTTTTAAAAACTAAAAACTAAGCTAAGTTTTCTTTGCCATCTATAAAAGAACTTGGATCCCTAAAAGGCTGAATAAGACTCAAAACTTTCAACTTCACAGTTCTCTAAGTGAATTATAAAGTCAACCAACTGTGTCTGCTCGTTTTAGGGAGTAACTGAGTTCATGAATTCAGGCCAACCAGCGCTGTGAGCACACCTTAAAGACAGCTGCCAAACATGCTGGACAGCTGCTGTCACTTGTGATAGCAATTAAATATGCATCATAATACTCTAACATTCTCTTCTATATCTGAAGTCAACTGTATGTTTTTATGACTTATATATTCTACAAGCTTCATCAGAGTACAATATGGTGGGCAAACTATTTTCTGATCTTTGCTTAAATCTAAG